CTGCCTTTGTGTCGGAGCTAGCTGCTTCACCGTGCCTTACAACGCTATGGATGCCGGTTCTTCTCTTAAACTTCTCGAACAACTCACGGCTTCCCTTAAGTGCTTCTTTTTCGGCCGTTGATGATCCTGGCGTCTTCTTAACGAGGTCTGCGAAAATCACTTTCGCCTTCTCACAAATGATGTTCTCGTTAATAGTGTCGCCTTGCAATTGCTTTTCGTTTATCCATATGAGGAGCAACCTTTCGACATCACCGAGAATACGTAACCGTTGCGTAGATATTCTTGTCACTCCCTTTGAAGCATCGATCTCCTTAGTCTTGTCCTTGTTCTTGAGGATAGTGCAAACCGTTGATGTAGACCGATTGTATGTGCGTGCTACATCAGCCACACTCACACCTCGTTCTCGCTTTTCAATGATTTTACGTTTCATTTCTACGGTTATTTTTATTCTCTTATGGCTGTCTTTTTGCGGCTTTTTCTTCGGGGACATTTTTGCAAGGGTCATTAAACTTTGCACAAAAAAAATCACAACTAATATGTCTGAACACAAGTTTGGAAAAATGTGTGATCACAAGCGACACTAAGATGCTAGCAGAACGAGTGCTAAACACAGACTGATGCAGCAAGCGCACAATCCGTGACTTCCTTTATTGTCACTCGTTATGCGAAACGTCGCTCGTTAAGCGAGTCATCTTTTCACAATTTGTTTTGCTCGTTATGGAAATTACCTGTTATGAGAGGTGCTCGTTAAGCGAGGTTCCACTGTACGAGTATTTACAATTTATTCTTAATTCCTACTTCTTTGTACCATATATACAAGAGCTCTGTCAGTCCAGGCTCAGTACAGCAGATTACGCCCTATTTCTTGCAGTAATCGCTACCACGGCAGCCTAGTCACTTGAACGGCCGTATGCCTGACCGCCGCCAAGTTAAGCCTTTTATATGTACTTTATGTGTCGGGCTTCGCCTTGTCCGATGTTGCGAACATCCTCATTATCATGATTTTGTATGACTTCTGCTTGTTGCCTGCATATTTTTTTATAAAGTCATATACGTACAGGATTTTGAATGCCATGTGCAAATCGCGGACCGATGTGCGCCTTGGAAAATCTAATAAGAGCTTTGTGGGGGGGTAATTTTAATGTTAGCGCTCAATCGCTCACTTTTGAATAGGGAATAAATTCTAATAAATGT